AAGTGTAATTTTCCATCCTTGTTTGTTATTCATTCTCAAGTTAAGTAGATGTTTCAATGACCCAACATTTTTTTTTTTTGAAACATAAATCATATTATAATTTATATTTATAAAAATATTAAGCCAATAAGACTTTCTCGCTCTGTGCAAAATCTAAAATTATTTCCTATAATTTAGTTTATGGTTGACCGGTATATTATAACCTTCAACTCAATGAATATTGAAGACAATTTTCCCTGTTAGAATAAACTGACACCTAAAAGTACAATAACATTTTTATATGAACTGTTGCTGCAATTGCAGTAATAATGCAATATAATAATTTTGCAAGGTCGTGAATCATCTAATAATTGCTGATTGCTCTATCCATTATAGTTTTAGCTGAAGGTGTTTTCCGCATGCCATGACATCAATGTGTTGAAACATTTGTTAGCTATTGTGGTAAACAATAATTGCAGTTTATAGAATGCACTTATTATTTTTATGAAAAAAAAATTGGACTATCATTGCACGTTGAGTAGGCCACTATTTTGGATGGGTCGTAGAGTGTAGACTCTGCACAAGGTCGCGGGTATATTAAGTAGAATAGGTACACCTGCTACAGAAACTGGGTGTTGTCGTGTAGGGCCTTGCTCGCTTTGCTCACCTCTAAGTATGACTACACGTCATTATGATTAAATAATAATAAGCAATGGTTTAATGATAAATCATATCTACCATTCGAATAACAAAGCTCGGTTTACTACTTTATAGTAGGTACCAAAACCGAACCATGTATGGTTTTCAAGTCGTATTTCGAATTTTAAATGTTTGTCAAAACCAAAATTTGTAGGTATTTGTATGTAAAATTGACCATAAATATCTTTTAGGTTCACTTGAAAACTACATTTTTTACAATTTCTATCAAAATAACTGAGTATTTTTAAATATTCAACGATATACTTGAATGATGTATTGTCGTCAACTTACAAACATATAGGTACTTAAAATATGGCAAATTTAAGTTCAGCAGGACCAAATAATTTGTATTATTATAACTTTAATGTTAGAGTGAAATAGTGAATCAACATTTGACATACACTATCAATTTTAATGTTGCGGACATTACATACAATGTTTGAAGGTCAGTTTTTACGATATTTAAAGTTTTAAGTGAGTTATAAGCATCTTTAGTTAAGATAAATATTTTACATACCTACTCGTATAATGTACAATGTATAATGTAGTAGAATGGGGTAACTTTGATACCCATATATTTTTATTCACTTGAATACCATGATGATTTCATTTTTTTTCATAAAATGAAGTTACTTTGATATCATATTAAGAAATATAGGTATCAAAGTTCCCCACTATGTTGTGTAACTTTGATAGCATATTAAAAAGATTGATATCTCAAAAGATAACATCAGAAATTTAAAAATTAAAACTTTTAACTATTTATCATAACTAGCTGTAACGAATATTTAAATTTAGGAGTTATTGAGTATTGTTAATACTACAGGAGTTATCCATAAAACAATAAGTAAAATTGTCATAAAACAGTAAAAAATTATCAAAGTTACCCCATTTTAGGTAAAATAATATATTAGTCACTTTACAATTTAAATACAAATACCGAGGTTCAAACACAGATAATGCCCTTATGTATCTTTATGTTTGATAATAGATTCATTCTAATATTAAAAATAACAGTACACAAAATTGGTTCAGCTGGACGCAAATTTGCTATGTTTGGTATTTTTTTTTTTTTGCATTAATTGGAAAATATACAATCTGTAATAACAGTCACAATAAGTATATAACCATGGTGATCCATGATCGTAGAACAAAAAATAATAATACAACTAGCCTGAAATCTTGAAAAAATAGCAGTAACACACAGACGTATGTTAGTAAAATGAAAACAACAAATACAAGTGCGATGATCTGTTAAATCGTAAAATAATGTATAATTTCACCACACTTCAGGTAGGTAGTTGATTAATTAATTGAAAATTATGCTCTAAATTTCTATACTAACTGGTAACATTTGTATCAAATTCTCAATAAGTTAACTATATTTATATGGGTACTACTATAATTCGTTAGAGTTAGTTAAATAAAACTTTTAGAACACAGAACTCTGAAACGTGATCATCGATCATTACACAAAAATAAAACAGATCAATAAATAAATGGTAAGTTATTATGTAATATACAACATTTTCCAGATATATTAAACCATATTATTGTATAGCATATTATGTAATATAAAAAATAAAAACAGTAAAAATGGTTTATTGGAGGTATTTGATTATAGGTATTGATAAAAATTATATAGGTACTTACTTACCTATTATATACCAGATAATTTATCATGCATTCATGTGAAATACTATGCAGTTGAAAATTAATAATGAGTAGTAAAATGATTATGTTTCTTATATAACTATAAAGACACATTATACTTTAAAGCTGCAGGTGTGTCCAGTCCACTGCACACAGTAGATTTTAATGCGGCCCTAACTTTAATTTCAATACTATCAATTAATTGTAGATAATATTATTGGACATTTTTTTAAAAATATAAAACTACAAAATATTAAAAAATGAAAGACACTTCAAATTAATGTAATAGTACATGAAAGTGTTATCTTTATTGGGATCCCCGGACCCAATAGTTGGATAACACGGGTGTCGGGCACATATTAACCAGATACGGGTGATCAATCAATCAACTCGGAGCGATTTCGAGAAAATATCATATTATTACATGGTTGGAGATATGTATTCAAGGCATTTTTGATCAGTAACCTTCATTAGATTTTTATAAATTATATCTAACTAAAAGAACATACCATCCACGGGATCCACGATCACGCATTATTCATATCTTTACTTTTCGGCAGTACCTATATATTTCAGAACAATTGTTTTCAAGAATGGAAAACACCAAGAAAAGGAACTAAGGATCGACCAACTATATCGGACAAACATCTTGAAAGTTGTTAAAGTTTAAAATATCAAATAGGTAAGGAAAACATTCATTACAATTCGCAAGCATGTGATAATTTCGTTGATGTACGAAATGTATGCAAAAGGTATGAATCATTTAATGCTAATGGAACAGATAATATCAACTAGCAACCTAAACTAACTCACTAACTATAACCTACTTATAACAAAATTATATAATGGCACTTATTTATTGTTACCAAAACTATAGGTGTGTTCAATTAAATGAATATCAATATATTTATTAATTAGGTACAATGATGTGTTAAGACTTTAACAGGTCGAAAATATCAAGCTCTTATAATTGTATACAACTTACAAATAAAAGTATTGGAAAATCATTTATAAACACAGAAATCTCCAAAAATAGGTTGAATTTAATGGAAAAGTAAACAAAAATGTTTTACTTTAAATAATAAATCCAGATAATAAAAGCTTAGATTTGTTTTGAATAAATAAGTAAATACCTATAATCTATATGTAACAAGTTAAGTAATTAAAATAGGTACATAATTTTCTGAAATTAAATAGTTAAATTTGATATTCGTTTAGGTCTCTTCTCGTAATTTTATATGAGTCATATATATTTGAATATTGTATATGATTTATTATAGCTATAATAATAAACATAAATACCTATAATTTATATTTATATATTTTTCAGTATTGACCAGTTGTACCAAAACATCAAGCTGTATACAAAAAAAATGTGGTTTCCCTTGATTTTTGTGTAACTACTTAACACAAACATCAAAGTCAGCGGTGGAAAACAAGTACTTACCTACCTACCGTCAATGTCCTGTAATAACCTAGGTGAAATTGGCACGTGCCAATCATTGACTTTAAATTATAAGGTGGATAAGGAAAATCACATACTATGAGAATGCTTTAAGTTCCTTGTTTCTACTTTATACTTAACGCAATTTATGATCCTAAAAATATGAAAGTATAATCGACTATATTATATATCTTATCAAATTTATTTCTTAAACTCTTAAATTTACGTAACCTACCTCCCATAAGACAATAAACCTTAAACACTACATATCTAGTATCTACTTAACATAAAGTAACTAATTAAATGTCATTTTTTTTTTATCAGGTACGTATATTTTATGAATATAACGTGATACTTATTAGGGTAAATAGCGTTTTAAAATTGTGGGGGAGGGTTCAAGCTCTATTATAATAATATTAAATAAACTTAAACAAATTAGGAAATGTTTGGGGGCTTAGACCTTTAAGACCTATCGTACCTATAGTGATATTATACACATTATATAGCATAATAATATTTATTGACCTATACAATTTTTTTAATAAATTTTTGAATAAGGGCCTACTTAGGTTCCTTGTATTTAAATTTTTAAGCAGCAATAAATTATTTTATTTACAAATTATTTCTTGTATTTAGTTGTCCTTTAAGTTTTGTTTAATTCATACCTACAATACGACCCACCAGTAAAAACAGTTTTTATAAGGCAAATTAAATTCATCATTTTTACTATTCTAATTACACAATATATTAAACGATTTATTTGAATAACATTTTATTTAGTGAGGTTTGCTCTTAGGAATTAATACATTTTAATTGAAACATAAGGTTAATCAAACTATTTTGTATACAACCAATACGTGAGTATATTAAATATATAAAAAATTAAATCGACAATTTTTAACTATATATGATAAATTTAATAAGGTTATTGAATCTCATTAATTATAATATACTAGATACCTACCTATAGGAATCTCTAAACAAATAATTAATGAATATGCTTAGAAAAATAAATAACTAATATTTTTAGAAAATGTATGCTAACAAATTGGCAAATACATAAACGCTCAAAAGATTGATACCTACGCTCGTATTCAATAACGCGCGGAGGCATAAGCTTATAAATTAAATGAATAGGTCTATAGATGTAGGTATACAATATCCAAATATCCTACACAATATACTTAATAACTTATAAGTAACAACTATAATATTTAATACCTACCTACTACTGCAGTACAGCTGCTCTGCTTCAGATGTTATCGTCGCATTAAAGGAGGCTCCAGGGAGGCCCGAGGGCTAGAAACTGGAATCCCTCCCAAGCCCGTATTTCTAAAAAAAAATTTTATTGTTAAAACAAAATTACAAAAAAAAACATACTAAAATATCGAAAGTTTTCTGTAAATTATGCCTTAGCCCTCCTCCCCAACTATGTCTCTGGAACTGCACCTGCATAGCATCCAGTAGCGTAGCGAAAGGATTAATAGGGAAGAGAATAATGTGAATTTTCAAAACAACCGAAAAATCTGAAATCCACCACGCCACTGATAGAATTTTACATGAGAAAATAAATTTGCACTGTATAAGTAGTGATCCAATAAAATAATATATATTTTTTTTAACAATAGATGTGCAAGCGGGTAGGTACTCAATGGTGTCGTGTAAGTAGTGGGTGGGTCACTGTAGATAATGGATGTGGTAAATTTTAATTTTAATGATATAAATTCATTATACCTGCCATCTCAAAAAACAATTCTGAGCGAAGATAACCTACATTAATTAATATATTATATTAATATTTGATATATTCATACATTGTTATTAAAGAACGTATTTTACTAATAACACCTAATACAGAGATACCTAGATTGAATTAATTTTCTCCAAAAACCTTGCATTTGAAAATGTTACTATAATGTGTAATGTGTATAAAATATAATAATAATATGCTTTATTAGTTTCAAATACCTACCCGTGAATAATGTTTTACAATTTAAACAAAATAACTGAATTATTATACATATATATTACTATACAATTACTATACACATTAATTATTATATTGTATTCAAATGACTTTCAGCATAATACAGCCAAGTATCGTGCCGGGAAAATTGAGACATCGTTTCATATTATATTATTTGTATAGTGAATTTATACTGTAAATAGTATCCGGGATTTAAATCAATAAAATGCGATACCTAATTGTTACAGTTCTTTGAAATATCATGAGACTTTTACACAAACGTGTTGTTTTAAAAAAAAATATGAAATAGATAACTACTTACCCAAACGTTGTATTCATTTCTGGTGTCTGAAAAAAAATGCCTACCAAGACATGTGCAGTGTGTACTGTAGGTACCCATAATCTTTCTTCCAATTCTCATTTTAAGTCAGGTAAAGATACTATAAAAACGATTTTAGTTACAAAAGCGCTCTAAAATATTGCGCATCTTATCACACACACACAGACAAAGATCGGTATTACCATAATTACTATGTTCGTGGTATCGACTATCGGCGAGTTCGTGCGTCTTCTCCTTTTATTCGTATGAACATTTTATATGGAAACAACAGTCACCTAGTTTATCATAATAGGTAGGTACATTAGTTTTTATATTTTGAGTCTATGAGCTATACAATTATACGGTAATTGTCTTTTGACGTAGATACATTTTGAAAAACGAACAATAGTTAACTATTATTTTAATTTATTAAATTAAGTAGGTATTACAGTTTTTTATATTTCGTATTTCTCGACCTTACCGGGTATAACTTTTATTTTTAAAATACAAATTTTTACCCGAAGAAATGGCACCACTGGTGTATTTCTGGGCGATCGTCAACTCCGTCAGAATCATATTGTTCCATGTCATCAGGATACCGGTTAGATGAAGAGGTAATGGAAAGGTCTAATGTAAGCTCCGCAGGAGTATGGCTTGCTTATGTAAAACCTAATAATACATCTCAACAAAATAAGCTTAACAATTTAAAACTAAATAAAAAATGATAGTGTTAGACAACGTTATAGATAGTTATAATAATGGATTTATATTTGATTTAGAAGTTTGAATATCTACAAATTATATCACATAATTTTAGTTCACAACTCAAAATGTTTTAACATAACATACCTAGGTAGGTAAAAAATTGTTGATTTGATTGTTGTTAAAATATTTTTGAAGTCTTGATGAGACAGTCTCGCAGAGGTGTAGGTACCACAGAATAGACTAAATTTGAGTGTACTATCGAAAATAAAAATTTTCTTTCCAACGCACATAACAGTGTCCAAGAAAAATTGAGTTTGGAACACAGACCCTACACTATGCACCTACTTGTACCAGATAAGAACTGTGTTCAACAATAGTATCACGAGCCACGTAACAACCACGAACTAAGATATTAAAAAAAATCAAGATATCTTAGTCTTAGTTCATGGTAACAACATAATATCGCAGCAATGTAGGCTATCTTTATGAAAAAATACAATAATCTATATATCATATACTGCTACCCATCGTATATTATATACACTACCGAATAAAAATCCCCCGACTACAATATTATTCACAAACACATGCAAATTATTGAACAAATATTTTTTTTTAATTAGTGTCAAATTAGTGATTACATAATTATCAATATTTAATTACAAATGTATACTTTATACTAATAATATCGCGTCGTAGAATACTGCGATATTATGTATAATTCTGTAAAATTAAATAACTGAAATGATTTTTTTTTTCATCTGGTTAGGTTATTTTCTATAACATTTTGATAATATTACATACAATATGTCTATATAAGAATAAGGAACTTCAAATGTTACCTATTCTAGTGTAGTGTGTGGTGTAGTACAACTTACTATAGTATCTATAATATTAGGTACCTTTGATAATCTATAATATATATATCAACTATACTTTATCTGTAATGGGCTCACGAACACAATTTCGACTCGCTATCTTAGAATAAATGGGAATGACCATGATCAAATATAGTATAGTACAGTAAAAATTAGCAGCGATTTTCAGTGGACCACATAATATTATAGGTCTCAGTACACATTTCGTTCATGATACAGAAGTACAACAACTAAATTATAATTAAAGATACTCCATATCTTCATTTAACCAAGAAGAAATTAACTGACTCATATTTTTTTTTATTTATTAGATAAAATAGAATATTTACAGAATAGAAGATTTATATACATACAATAAGTATATTTGATAATAATAAAGGAACACCATGAATGGCTTGAGGAGGGAGGCCCACTAAGGTGGATACCCTCTAGCTTGGGGGAGAGAGTTTTATTTTTTTAATTAGTGCAGTTCGGGATTCAGGAGATGGCAACACCAGTGTCTTTTTAGTCGACGTGGGGGTTTATTAGGCATGAAGTCACTGGCCAAGTTGGAAATCAATGGATTTGTGTGGTTAGCTGTTTTGGTGTGTAAATTTTTGTAGTAGTTTTTGGCTGTTTTAGAGACTGTTTCAATTTTAAGATCCTTATGTAGTGAGAGGTTTGAGTGACTGTGAGCAGTGGCGGCGAGATATAATACTATTTGAAGCAATTACTTCGTTGTCTATTATAGGTGGGTGCCGGTGGTTTAATTGTAACACCTCAGTACAATTATTTTCATAACAAATATGATAATTAACATAGTAAACTATCATTTTGATGTAATAAAAGGGATGGTCAGTGGTAAAAATATTAAGAATGTACAATTTGCTTCAAAAGCTCAAAATGTTTGCGCCATCACTGACTGTGAGTAATGTATCATCACATAAAGTATTAGTCGAATTACCATAGGAAGAACACGTAACACAAGACAATTCGAAACCACAGGGGTTACAACGATCCTTCAAAACCGGCGTGTAGAAAAGAATTAGTCATTAGAGGTATTTATATATTTGTTGTATTATATTTTTAGTGTTAGTCGAGTACTGAGCATTTTTCGAATATTTTAATTTTTAACTTGACTCGACTCGAAGTTAAAAAACAATACTCGTTCATATTGCTATAAATTGTTTTTGAAAATACAATGTCATTGTGTGTGTAAAATATAATAATATTTTTAAATGACAACTTGAAATAGGAAAAAACGGGTTTATATATATTTTTATAGATTTTTTGGCTACAGTATTAATTACTCATAAGAATTCTCATAAATATTTTATACTGTAATCAAAAAAATCTAAAAAATATATAAGCTAAGTTATTTTTGCAGATATTTTAAGTTCAATTTTTTACGAAATAACATATTAAAACGATAAGAATTTTAAAATTTCGATTTTTATTAGTTCTTTAGGTTTATTTCAGTAGATATTTTTGTTTTAATAAAGGTAGACTAACTTATGAGGTTTCTTGTAATCTTGTTTAAAATCAATACATCATCGCTCCGCTCAGAATATAAAAATAAAAAAATATAAAATGTTTAGGTGAATGGTGCTATACGGAGAAGAACGATTTTTATTAGATGATAATGGTCCAGATGCGATTTTAGCAAGTTCTAATACTTGGTTCATGGATGGAAATTTTGGACTGGTACCTGAATATTTTAAACAACTGAATGTATTTTGAGTTTAAAAAAATTCGATTTTTGTTATAACTGTTTACCGTGTTCTTGAGCGGAAAACACAATTTACTTATGAGCATTTTCTTCGCACTGTAATGAATGAGTATGAAAAACGGGGAAAATATCCAGATCCCGTTTATATAAATATGGATTTTGAACTAGCCGTTATGAACGCAGCAAATCTGATTTTAGGCAGCCATAATACGATTCAAGGATGTTTCCAACATCTCTGTCGGTCGATATTTTGAAAGTTGCAAAAATTAGGTTTGTGCGAACGGTTTAAAAAAATACGAAGTATTCCGTGTTCTGTACTATGGTTAGTAGTTTGGCTTTCCTTTACATGAAGTTAAATATGGCATAGAGTATTTAATAAAAAATATACCCACTGGAGCAGAAGATTTATTAATATATTTTGAATAGAGACGGACGATTCCAACATTCGTCTTCGGAGGATTAATCCAGTTTTCCCACCTTATATACCAAACAACCATATCAAATGATGACAGCAATAGACATAGAACATATAGACAGAAGGTTGGAAAAATCGATTTTCCCATTTAATTGGTATTAAACATCCCACAGTTTGGCATTTAATAAGAAAAATGAAATATGAAGTTGCTGCGGATTATGAAATTATTAGCATTGGATGGAGTTGGAGAAAGCAATAAAAAAAATAACAAACTTGGACAAATGAGGACGACGGAAATAAGATTACAAAAATTTTGTGTCAGATTTGTGAGTGATAAAATAAATATTCCAGATTATTTGAATTCAGTAAACCACAATATTAGGAGATAATTTTATAATTAACAGTGCCACAGTGGGTGAACTATTATTTGACAATAATTATTTTATTATTATTATTCGACGTAGGTATGCAAAATATATATTTTTTTTTTTTGAGTACCTAGTACATACATTCAATAATTTGATAATTATTTTAATTTTAATTTTATAAATATATCTGTATAAAGTACAACTTGTAAAAAGGCTTCTTAATATTTTAATTACATTATAGTCAAAATATAAGAAACGTTGGTAATATTTTAAAATTTGAAATTTCAATCCTTAGCCATAAAAATTAAAAATGTTCTACATTTTAACTTTTAAGTATATATTACTCAGTATAAGTATATATTAGTAATTAAATATTAATAATGTTCGTAATTACACTAAAATATTTATTCAATAATTTGTATATGTTTGTGAGTAGTATTTTAGTCTGGGGATTTTTATTCCGATTACCAGTTGCGCTTTCCACACACTCATTCCTTGTCTAGTAGTATAATGTCTATGGTTTGTAATTACGCTAAACGCGTAGGACTCTGGGAAATAAAGCTTACTGCGATTTATGTGATGAAAATTATAATAATACATTTTTATGTGCTGGTAGTACAACTGGAGATCAGTACTTTGAAATTAAAAAAACATTCATAATATAATATCAAACCAACATGAAAGTAATAAAACTCAAAGGTATGTATTGTACAATATGTCATGATTACACATATTGCAGTAATAAATATAAGACCCAGAAATTTGACTATAATAGTATAATTTAAATATTTTGAAACTTCAGTAGTGTTAGTTCCTATAGATTAGTTTTAGTACCTATTATTATTATAATATTAATATTATTTTTAAAATGTTTCCATAACAATATATCAGTATACGAGTATATTGGTATATTTTTAATAAAAATGCTTAAATGTTCTGCTTCAACATCTTTTGTAGTGGGAAAGTGAATCTAATTGGTACTTTAGGGGGTTGAAAGTAAGTTCTTAGTTATTTTCAAATGAGTCGGGAAAAAAAAGAAAATCAAGAAAAACGTGAAATATTAAACAAATCCAGTTTTTAGAGACTAATATACTATATATTTTCACTAGTAGATGTTAATAATAAGACGATTTTCATTCGTTAAGTTTAATTAGGTACCTAATTATAATAACTTTTAACATTATTAAGAATAAATATGAATGTTTAATTTTCAAGACAATTGTATGAGATTGTATCATTAATAGCCTAACATCTGTGTTCATAGCCGTAGCAAGTTAAGGGTTCATTTGTTAGGTTATTTATATTCTAATCCCCCCCCCTCCAAAAAACCAACATGTTTTTGGTGTCTACGGGCCAGTGACTGTGTAAGGACTAAATATTATATCATTTTTTCGGAGTAGTTATTATTTCCGTAGTTGCTATAATTTGAATAAAACTTAAATCTATTGTGTAAGTAACTTAGTCAAAAGTTACTTGACATCACATCTATTAATAAATATAAAAGTGGGAAGCGAAGTATAAATTAACGAATAACTAACCTAGCCTACCTGCGTAGTATGTATCGATTGTATCTACCTAGACACTTCAACACTTAATGTATTTAACAATAGTTTCATAATAATGAGTTTATAATTTAAAAAAAAAACTCAATTTGTATAGTCATACACCATGTATTTTCATAAATTATTTGATAAAGTAAAATTACAAAATAAAACGAAACATTTTTGGAAGGAAGGTACCTCTAATGAGAATTTTCCCCTCGTGGACTTTGGATAATGTTAAATTATTCTTAAAAATAAAAATTATTTGTACACAATTCATAAGTACTTACCTAATATTTTCACACTAATAATATTCAAAAATCTGCGACCAATCATGCATTTATTTATAGGTACATAGAAAAAAAGGATATTACTTGTTAGTTGTTATGCTCGCACTCGTAGTTAAATTCTCTCTATAAAGGAACTCAATATCGATGATGATAAGGAAAAATGTTTTTGACTAAAATGCAACTGTCAAAATCGTAGCCCGATGGCTGATACTATAGGCACTAACATTAGATACCTATCTATAACCCAAGATGGGCGACGCGAACACCTTTTTTTCGGTGGGTTGTTGTCTGTGGAAAAAAAAACTATTAAGTACCGAGCATAGACTTAGTAACTAAACTTTAGTTAATAAATCTATAGTAAAGAGTACGGACCATACAAAATAAGTAGATACTGTCAGCAAAAATATAAAGGTATGTATGGTGCAAACTGCAAAAGATGGGTAATGAGAAATAATTGTTGCACCCATCCCCCCCAATTTAATTTTAATTTGGCACCACTGGGTACCTATATGATACAAATCTTTAATACCTACACCTAAGAAAGTAGGTATTTTTCGTGTAGGTTAAGTGACGATGGTAAAAACCTTAAAATTCAATTTTGTATATATATTGAAATTATTGATGTGCATCAGAGGGACCACATTAACCAATAAGCCGAACAAAACAATACTAACAAAGTGCCATCTGAGAATTGAAAATCGCTAATAGTTATAGAATATTTTGTTTACATCACTGATAAATTATAATAGTTATACATGGCCATACAACAGTATAATCCTAAATTTAATGTGTAGATACAAGCAAAGAAAAAAAAACCAGAGAAGTGTGTACCTATATTATTCTATATAGGCACCTCACAATTTACCAGTGGGTACAAGACAGCTAAGAATAGTTATGTATGTGTTTATAATATATTTTATGGACTCTACACAATTGAGTAACCTAAACAGACTAAAATGATTGAAGTAGATTTGTGAAAAATTGTATAATCTGAACATAAAAATGTATAATTTATATTATTATCTTAGGTATATATGTGTAATATATTATTTATATTCAACAGTATTTGGTATGTCACCGGTTAGTCTAACAAAAAGTATCTATATCAATAAGGACAAATATATTAATACATTATTACGAGTTTATTACCAATTTGATATTACTTTATAATGAGTTATTATCAGATAAAATTAAAAAGTAGATACAATATCATGACTTCTGACAATGGTCAATAAAAAAATGTATTTATGACCAGATATCAACATTTTTTTTTAGAAAAAAAAATCTACAATAATTATAATACTTTACTTTTAAACTATATAGATCATACAAAAAATATAATATGTATAGCAAAAAAATTTAAATACTTCAAGTAAAACAGAAAAACATCTTAAAATGTTCCTAAAACAACTACAATTAAATAGGTAGTATGATTTTGTTTAAAAATATGATTGACAATGTGTCAAAACAAAGTACACAAAATAGATGTGATAAGTACAAGTTATATTGACAAAAGAAAAATGACATTGGAATATATTAAGTGCCCAATGGGTTAATGGTGATTAGAACACTAACATTTATTTCTTTCAAATATCAAATTTCATTGTTCAATTAATTTTATTGTTAAGCTAAGTGTGCAAAAAAAAATCTATTTGTCATGGCCCTATTAAAGTTACTTATTAATTAAAACAAAATTGACGTACTAATTTTATAACTTAGGCTGTAAGAATTTAAAAAAGAAAAAAATCTTATTGATGATTTTCTGTATCATTTAATAAAATGCTCTCTTAATAACTAATCAAAACAAATTGTTTTATTAAAAAGACTTAAATTGCACTATTTTTACAATATTAACACTTAAACATTAAAAAAAATTAATATCTTCACTACAATTATAGGCAAAGATCAACAAATTTAACAAGAAACAATTTTTCACTGTACAATTTTTATATTTTAGATATTCATAATTTAATATTCTATAATTAAAAAAAAACGAAAATAGTCCTCTAATCTATAAAATTGTGTATTCTGATTGAAAATGTAAATACATTTCTATCATTAACAAATAATAATAAAATAAAACAAAAACATAAATAAATAAAGAGAACAATAATTATGAAATGTATAATAAATAATCTATTTTTTCTAAAAATGGTATTAATTATTAATTATTAATATTGTAATTTGATTAGAACACAATAACAGCAATATGGCAAAACATGTAGTATAATTAAATGTATTTACAGTAAAATTGTATTTATTTGTATTTTTTTCTAATTTAATACATTGTAAAAAAAAGTCTGTAAATACGAATACTGTGACTAAAAAACATAGAATATCAAGAAAAAAAGCATAGTACCAAATATCTTTAAAATTACATTATAATTGTTAAATTAGTTTTAAAAAATTAATTACGAAAATACTAGTAGTAGTTAAAAATAAAAATAGGTAACACTCTTACACAGGATAAATAAAAAATAATTGATTAAGACATAATGTTGTCAAATGAGATGTGTAAATAATCAAAATAAAAAAAAAATTCTCAGAAATAAATAATATATCTTGAGCGAATTCCACTTTTATATTAGAAATTTAGTAATAAATTTAAATCTACAAAATATATGTACGAAAACATATATTATGTAAACACTTTTTAAAATTTTTAATGGCTATAAATTTCTAACAGTTTTGTTATTTATTATTACCATTATTTTAATAAAAATGTGAAAGAGAATGAAATTTTCAATTTGAAATAATAATATAATTTAAAACAAAAAATAAAAACAAAAAATAAATAAATGTTAATTTAGAATTACAACAATAATAATACATAGATAATGTACATTAATATTGATAATAATATGCATTTTCAAATATTAATAAGCATTAATGTCTAAATTACTGTTGGTATTTGATGACTATATACTCCAAGGCACTTTTACTTAATTAAAACTATTATGGGACTTACTAAAACTAATATAAAAAATAATAATTTCGAAAGAAAATCAATGTAAATTACATTACATTAGTCCTTCTAAAGCATATACTGATGAATAATACTTAAGTAGAACAAAACAACTATTTTTTTTTTATTTAAAAATTGACATTATTTCCAATTCACCTACGCATCGCACTGCAGAAATTATAAAATGATAAAACGAGGAAGCCAAAATGTTTTGAATATCTTAACGAATTATCACATGAATGTCTATATTATAATATATAGTTAATAATTATTATATATAGATATATAAATTGGTTTTAAAAATCTAATAATTTTATCAATAACAATATAACTATAATAATTAAGAAAAAGGTTTTTAAAAACAATAAATATTATTATATAGTTACTTTTAAAACAGGACAGACAGCGTTAATAAATAAATCACATGGACTTTTTTTTACTCGTTTTTTTTTTTTTTTTTGAGGCAGGAAAAGGAAATAAAAATTAAATAAATTAAACGAATAAAATGTTGTTTTTCGTACACTATTCCAGTCTTTACAAGCCGAAGAACTAGTATGTATTGAGTGACTGCTCTGCCGGATGTACCCGTCGAAAAATTGCTCTGTAAATTATTCAAATAAAATAATTGAGTACATAAAATACATACTTATTATGTACTTATTTGTAATACACAAATATGCTAAATATTGTCATTTTCTAATTTTATTTATGATTTAAAATTATAATTTTATGTAAATATGAATATTTGTGAAGAAAATGTATTTTGAGATTTTTTATCTGTTAATAGATATTGAATTTGAGTGTACAATAAATGGTGAGAAATTTTATACTAAAGCAAATTATATACCAAAATAAACAAAATTAATTTCATTTTTATTTGAATCACTGATCATAAATATATGTAAGGATATGCTTTCATATGTGCATCGAATGTCAGGAACACCACACGAGTGATATGCTGTGTTAGCGATATACCCTCCGGCAATCGTGACCATTGTCTGGATGCACCTAGGAAAGAGTATTTTTATGAACATAATACCCATGTCTGCTAGATAAAGAGGGAGGATTATTGAGTGGTTTTTACCTATATCTTACACGTTTATTTCAGGCAGAGAATTTAAGCTGACAATTATTGAGGGATGCCTGTAAACAAAGATTCAGTATATACACAATATTAAAATTACCCAAAGAAAAAACTGTAATGCTTTTTAGAACATAAATTTTGATATAGTTTATACATAAGTAACAATTACATGAGACTGTGCTATATGTTACTAAAAGTTAAAGGGTAATTAATTAACCTAGGGAATTTGCAATAATGACAGTTCTGAAAATATTCATTTTTATTATGGGGGTAAAAGTAAAACGTGTAGATAAAATTAAATAAATTCATAATAGTAACCTTGTATAACCAATCATTAGTATAAATAATTATACAAATTAACTTTATAAATATTGTAGTATTACACTATACATAAATAAAGTCTTTCTACAGTGTAAATACATTTCAAAATTGGTAATTAACGTCATATAGTCACAAATAATAAATTAGACATAAGGTAACATTTAAAATTGAATTTAAATTCATACAGGCATAAAATTTAAAACAAAAATTACCATTTTTAAAATAAATAAATTATTCAATCCAATAAAAAATATGAATAGACAGTAATAAGAACTCTTTATTTGAATATAATGTAATTAATTTTTATTCTTACTCTCAAACATATATAATGTATTTACTTAAGTTTTCATATTGTTTTTTAAAAATTTAAATTGTAATTAATAATCAAAGACTAAAAAACAGTTAAAGACTAAAAACCTATAAAATTTGATTTTTACAATAACTGGGATTAGTATAATAAATATTATTTATACAAACATTCTACTATAGTACAGAAATCAAATATTTTAAATAACTTATTTTATATAAAATTATTAAATCCTAAAAACTTTAGTTTACCTATGCTTACTTATTTTCACGAAGATGTATTAATGGAGCTTGGGAAGAAAACTCATCACAAATCCTCCAAGAATAACAATGAGAATTGTCAAGCATATCAGGATCATGATTTTCTTCTAATTATTTAACAACAACATTTAAATATTAGTAAGAAGAATAGTAACAATAAAAAAATATACAAAAATAAGTTCTAAATGAAAACAATAATGGGAAAGCTAATAGCATAAGCAATAGAAAACAGTGTTTTCACAAACAAACAGTGCATTATTCAATACTCATTGGTATTGAAAACTCAACTATAACTAATAAAAATCAATAGCTAAATATCCCCTTATATTTATTGAAAACAATTTTTTTTAATTTAATTATTAAATAATACTATAATACAATCACAATTGACTTGCCTTTCATTTAACTGTAACTTGGTGTTAATTTTGTATAATATATTCAACAAAATGACTTATTAAAAAAAATTTTTTTAAAATAATGTTCCTGGATAACTACTATTAAATACAATTAGATGAAAAAATATTAGTATTATGTAGCATAATATTGATTATTCAGAACCAGTCATGAGTCATCTTATATGTAGGATATGTTTATTTGTTTTCTTTGTTGTAAATAATAAATTACTTACTTTTTGGGCTCCTTTATGATAGTCTTCAGCAACAACCAGTTCTTTTTTGCCTTCAGCAACTTTTTCAACAGTGAATGATACATGGTTTTCTATGTTATCAATAAGTCCACCCTATATTTTTTTTTTTTTTTTTGGATAACATTTTCAGTTGGAGCAAGATTGGGATAAGGAATTATTATACGAAAATCCCAAAATTACATATGTAATATAAACAATAAAAACAAAAGTAAGCGAAAAATTTTGAAAAGGAAAAAAAACAAAACAAAACAATAACTTTTAGTAATTATAAATCAATAGCAATCAGCTCAAATTATATCAACTAAAAACTAATACTTAATAGTATTTCATTTTTCTAAATACAAACAAATATCAAATAAGTAATAAAACCTACAAAAACAAACAAATGCATTCAGCAAAGCGAGTGGGGCCATTGCAAACTTCTACGCCTTTTGACTTACTCTTCTCGCTTTGCTTTGATATTTTAACGCTTTCTTAGTATCTTGAGTTGCCGTCTGTACATAATCCACGGCGTGTTCAACATGATACTCAATTCGATCAATCATTTCGCCCTAATGTTGTTTTTAATTTATAAATTAATAGGAACTAATTTCATTTCATATTATAATGAAACATGGTTATATCAAAAACTATGTTAATAAAAACAATAACTAAATTGTAATTATTTATTTTAATTGTTTGTTTGTTTTCAATTTTTTAAGAACAATATCTACAAATTTTAAAATTAAATAGTTCAAGTAAATTTAATTTAAGGTAAAAACTGTAAGGAATTTAATGAATGAATTTTAAAGATAAAAATAATGTTATTTCAAACAAATGTAATGCAATATTTAGTTTTTTAAGTGCTAGAAGAGACTATATAGCTATTCAATTAAAAAACCAAAACTATTAATTTGGTAATTAATAGTAAAGTTTAATTGTTAAGTACTAACATAAAAAATCAGTTATAAAATGTATTTTAAATCTTTTATGACAAACAAACAAACAATACATTTGTATATTGAAATTCACTCTACAAATCTTTAAGAATGCTTATTGAGATTTGTATAGATTTTCAGCATAGATTAAACGGAAATTAGTTAACATTTTTGCAAAGAATAACATTATATTATTGTTGTACCTTATACAGCGATGATTTTTAGGATGTAAAAATAAAAAATGACTTATTTGGATATTAATTACATAGAACCAAATTACTATCATAAATAAATGAGTATTTCTTCATTATTCAGTAATTTATATATAAGTGTATATACTATAATATATACAGTGACAGCATCTATTTATTTGGAAAACTATATATTGTTTATAATAGAGCTAAAAATGATTATTTATTAAAACTCCACAACTGTTTTCTATAAAATGATAAGGTTAAGTGCCAACATATCTAAATTCAATAGAATTATATTATAATTATATTATTGTTCTATAAATAAAATTATAACAAATAAAGATTTAATTTGATAAGAATGTCAATATATTATCAAAAGACAGATGTTGTAACAGTTATCTCTCTAAAGTAACATGTGTTGAGTGGCACCTAACATTTTAACACAGACGCAATAATTAACATTGGTTGGTCAACGCCTTCAGCACACCAACCCATACTATAATACCCAATTACCCCGTTCACCAAATACAATTTTTTTTCTAGAAGTACAAAATTAAAACAACTTATTTTTAATGATAATCCCAACAATCAATTTAATTAAAATACTGAATAGTTGATTTAACTACCAGTGTACCATAATAAATTACACAAAAAATCACATCATAAGGTTACACCTCTGATATGTTTGGTGCAATTATCTATGATAACCAATGTATAGAAAATATTGTATACAATTTTAGAACACTAGTTTTAGCCATAAAATTGTTAACAGACAAAAAAACCACACATTTTAAATCAAACAGCTTCCTTGCTCTACACAGTATCTGATAACAGATTGGATTGTAAATCATTAGTATATTTAAAATACATACCTGATTTTCAACCAACATTGCCATATCCATGAACATATCATGAAGTTCTCTGATAGAGTTTTCCAGTTTTATAATATCAGCATGCCTGGCTTCAATATCAGCCAATGTTTGCCTGGCTTGTTGTGTTTCCATAATTATCTAAAAAAAAAATCATGTTAACACTAAAAAAAAAATTGTATTTTTATAATTACGCCTTGCGTGAACACAGCCGGGTTCCCTTGTTCTAACATTTCTTCAAGTTCATCATTAGTAGTTGTTCTTCCCGCTAAAATATTAAAATATTGGATTAATACAAATTAAACAATTAATTTAACAAACAATTCATGGAAGCGTTCAATTAATGAAATTATAAAAATTTCAAATAAAAAACTGGGGAAGTGTCTCCTGTATAGTAGATGTTGAGTATATTTTGCCATTGAGTAGCCTATATCTAATAGATGAGTTAAATTTGAATTCAATGATATATCACTACATACAAAAAAATGATTCTGAGCAGCACTAATATTGCTATATGTAATTTATTTTTTCCAAAAATGAACGAATGTAGCATGGGTAAATAACAATACTGTGTATAACTACCAAATAACTTGCACATTTTCGTGATTTTGTAAAAATTTAAACTTCAAACTTCGGTTATAAGAATAAATTGTAACTATAAACTTTAAAATTTAAAATTTTAGTCACTATAAGAACGTATGAAGAACCTTAAATAAAACTATTAAGATTTTTTCTTTTTTTATGATATAAAAATCAAAAAGTCAAACATTTTAAATGTCTATAAATACAACAATAAGAGCCAAAATAGTTTGAAAAATATATCACACGTCTAGAGAATATATTTTTAAAAAATTGGTAAAAAAATTCTGGTCTAATTATAACAAAAAAAAAAACAAAATCCATTTTGATGAAATCTTGTTTTACACAATAATTCCATAATGATAATTGCTATATGTTTTTTTTTTTTTGTTTTAATTCAAAAATATTTAACAATTAATGGGAATTTAATTTTAGATTTCTGCAAAATATCAATTAAAATCAACTTTCTACAGAAACCATCCACAAAGATACAGATTGAAACATTTTTACTGCTCTAAAATTTTAAGAGCGATGACTGATGACAAATATATAAAATAGTTTTAAAAGCACAAGCAGATGATTTTAAAATCGTGACATTCATACTCTGCTCAGGAATTGTTCTTACTTATTTCTAATTGCCTCTGAATTCGCCCTTTACAACGTTCTCTGTAATCTGTCTGCGTACGGTTATATTCCGTCATCACTTCAACAAATTTACGCGACAATGTTGAATGTTGTGTTTTGCGTATTCTTAAATCTGCAGACGATTTGTTCGATTGCTCTTCTGCTTCTATATTCTGCTCAATTTCTAATAACAAAAATTTTTGGTTATACTTAAACTAAAACAAACAATTTTTGTTGAATAAATGAATATTAACCTTTGAGTTTGGCACGGACTCTATTAGCAGTTTTTTTTATATCCACCATAAGATCTTCCAGTTCTTGTTTCACTTCTAATAAAACAATTTTCGTTAATAAAGTTATTCAGATAAATGCATGAATACTAAATATTACAATATTAATTAAAGCTATTAAAAATAGGTATATTTTTCATTTTATTTTATTAGTGTTAAAACTTAAACCCGTAATTCAAAATTCTTGGTTAAGTACATTTGGTATACACTTTTAGATTATGAATAATCAAACATGCTTGTAAATGTTGTATAATGAAAGTTATACTTAAGAGGATGTCAGCGCACCATTTGTTTTCTCTCTCTCTGAACTACACGCGACATACCAAATTTATGTTTAGCAGAATCAACCATGTTACATTGACTGTTTGGCGATATTTTAACTTCTCTGCAATTAATAAGCATTTTAAAATCGTAGTAATTTACAAGCTCATAACTTACACAAAAATTAAAATAACAAAAATAGCTAACATAGAGACACAGGTAGTGTTCTTAACTTGAAATTTGATAATAGATGAATTCACTAAAAGTAACAACAAAGGATAGATTCTGCTGCACGTAAATTTGGTATGTAGCGAGTGAACTAGAGAGAAAACAAATTGTGTGCTGACATCCTCAGAACTGTTAATATTCTTCGGATAAGAAATACGAGTAGGTACTCAAAACTCAAACTATTTCATATATCAATAATTATAAAATCAGAAATGTAGTTTGGACAGGGCCGTACTGGGGCGATTCAACCTCCCTCCAAAAATTGTCTTAGATTATGTAACTAAACTTTAAAAAAGAATAATATTTTGTTACTCCACCAAAATTTGTTTTTCATTCTGGAGGATTCTTCTTTTAATATGTTTTTTTTTTAATTATATAATACTGTTTTCAATATAAAATATAAAATTGTTGGTTGGATTTTTTTTTTATTCACCACTTCAAAACACATAATATGATTGGGGAAGTTATTCTTCTAGTACTAGTTTTAAGTTTATATGTTATGTTAATTTTTTTATCTTGAACCACAACAAGAATAAATCTTTTTGAAAAATAAAGTTACTAAAAATTATCCAAACTTGGGTGATTTTACTTTAAAAAGGCCAGAAATATTTGCGAAACATAAATAATCTGGTTTTCCATATGATCTTCAACTTTTTTTAAACATTAATGCTTCATAATGTATAGAAACGCGCTGTCGTTTTAAACATAAAAACAATTAATTCTTAAACTCAACAAACAATTCTGAAAGAACTAATTAACTCATGAATAATATTTACTCTTTTAATAATAAACAATAATGTATACATTGTCCTTTTACAAGACAATTTTTCGTGAAGTAGGTAACCATTTTAAAATTTTAACCAGCTTAAATATAAGTCACGATGAATGTTGTAAGAACAATTGATCTCGTTAACAACTTGAAAAGTGTTTTCTAAAATCCATTAATTTTTACGCCCCATTATAATGATTATTTACACCAAGACTAAAAACATAGATATGTATCATTTATCATAAGTAGAAAGATAATTTAATTATTAAATAAATAATTTAATTTAACATTATTTGTGTGAGTATATGTTATGAATCAGGAACTAAGAACGATAAGAGACCGAAATGTAGGGGGAGCCACTGTCTTCATGTATTTCTGGCTAATTACGTATAACAGGCAGTAACTGAAAACAAATTTCAGGGTCCAACTTTTTAATATACAAAGATGCTAGATACATCACTTTTAGGTTCAAAATATAAAAACTCTTTTTTTGTTTACAATATTCTTGTAATTACTGCTTTAATGAAAATATAAATTATTCTTAATATAACAGTCAATAAACAATATTTGTATTTTTTTAAATTTGGGGGACCCTGGACCCTCGTCCCCAGTTACGGTCTTGACATATAATGTACAATATATAAATTAATATAAATTATTTATAAATTTTAAGCCAAAAGAAATTTGATAGGATTAGACATTTACATGAGTTAACGATAACAAACGATGTGTTAACAAAACTTTAAAATATCTAAAGGTAAAACAGAGTATTTGAATCATAAAGATAAACGGAGAGTCAAACTAAAACAATCGAAGACTCAATTTGATTGGCACTACAAAGTATGTATTAGTTGTTGTTCTGTTTTTTTACGCGATTACGTTTTTGATAGTTAATATAAATGAAAGTTATTCGTTAACGTTTAAATATAATAATGCATAATTCAGTACTTATATTATACTCAGCATTCACATTTAGTAATATTTTTTTTTTCATAATATGATAATTTAAATTAACAATACACTATTATTCTGCGTGGAAGTGTGTGATGACGAGAGTACTAAATATTACAGAATCGCTTTCTAGTTTATTTTATTTGTGTGGTTAGGCAATTAAGTTCACAACCACCCTACCGATTTCATTAAAAACAATCTTAACTACGAGTATAAGAATAAAAATACACAATATGTAAAAACAAAATTCTATGTTGTAATCACGAATCCAGCAATTTGTTCAATACAATCACACACTTCCTTCCTATTTAGCTACTATATTCGTCAAAAGTAACACTACATCTATTTTTGCATAAGGCACAAAGCAAAACGAGTTCGGCCCACACAGTTTTATATCCTGTCCGTTTTTTATTATACGATACATGTAAATTGCGAATATTTAATACCAATGACTAACAATAATAAAATAATAAATTTAGTTTTCCAATTGTTGGGACGTACAGAGATTTAATTGAATATACCATACAAAACAAATATAATTTTAAATTAAAAAATTAAGTTATCAGTTAATTAATATAAATTTAACATTGCAAAAAATAAAGTACATAAAAAACACGAACATTAAAACTCTGCTCGGAACAAGCACGGGCAGCTTAGGTTAGAATCTACAATAAATCACTTTAAAATTAAAAATAAAACATTTTTCGATCTAAAATGATTGAGTTACCTAATAACAGCGAAAAGTTTTAATTAGGCCCATTTTTATTATTAAAATATCTATTTAATCACGGATCGTTGTATATGCTTTGTATTTATATTCCATTTTTAGAATGGTTTACAAAACTAAGTATTTTGACCAACTAATATTTTACTCATTAGCACTTTTAATTATTGCGATATGTTTTATACATTATAGAATATACATACTTTGTATGTTAAAAAACTAAGTTAATACCTAATAAAATCGTTTTTTAAAATATTACAATTTAAATTGTCTTCTCTGTCTAATTGTTTTTTTTAGAAATATTTCTTTTTAACATTCTAACATGTTTGATATTATACATAATACTATATTATAGTATCTACATTTGTTATTTATAATACAAATGTAGGTAAAACCTAATACGAGACCTTAAACTTCATAATGTTTTTATTTTTAATAATTATTAAAATTAATATTTTATATTCACGTTATTCACGTTTTTCAATTTAAGTTTTCAGCTGTAATCTAAGACTACAATATCAAAACGAAACGGACAAATCGTATGTTTAAAGTATCGTGGAGTTTTAAATAATATGCATACAGGCCAAACATAGAATAAAGTGATTTTTAAATTATGGGTGGAAATAAAAAATAACAAAATAGTGTGCAAGTTATTTGACAACATTCATCGAGTTGTCAAGGTGACTAGACTGTATTAGAAGGAGGGTAGTAACACTAACGGTAGAACGAGAGGAAGTTCAGAGTTTTGGGGTTGGGTAGTATATCGATTAAAATCCCAGTAAGGGTGAAGGGACGCAGTATATTGCAACGTACATCAAATATTATCAGAAAAGTATACGATTACGGCAATTAATATTTTAAGTTTAATTTTTTTAGAATTTCAAATCAAATAATATTATAGTCAGTTTTAATAAAATTAAAAGCTAAATTTAACACTCAATATAATAATTTTAACCATGATGTAAGTGATAGCTTTATGTCATACTTCAATCGAAGAAAAAGAGCAATATGTATTATTGTAGTATAGGATATATGAAATATTATTATTTATCTCGTTGTTTCCGTGGGTTTTTAATGATTTTTTAGAATTTCAAAAAAAAAATATTTCTTTCTTTTTAACTCTTTAATTGATACTTATAACAATTTTTAAAATTTTGAGCGTGCAGTTGTATCGACAGTAAAACCAATTTCATTTTTTTTATATATATACCAGTAATGCCTTTTTTTCTGAAAATCTTGATGGTTGAATCATACATTTTGGACACACTACTTTATTAACTCTGTTTCCAACATCTAAACAACCACCATAAAGTATTGCACTTATCTATTTAGCACTGATTATATTGAAATATAAGTAACCAAACGTTAGTTTCAAAATTCATCACTTCGAGTGTTAAAAGGATGTCAGCGCAATATTTGTTTTCTCTCAGAAAGACTCAAACCCACGCGCAAAATAGATAAAACGCATTCATGTTAAATCGTTTTGATACTTTTTGAATACCTAATCTTAGAATACAATCAACTATCACGAAAATTATATAGGATAATATTTTTGAGTGTTTGAAATATTGGTTTTATATTTTATTAATGATTAATATTTGACTTAATAATTGTATACTCAATATTAAAAAAGCGAGTAAGTGGGTACATTAGGTGTCTAGAAAGTCACTGTTATGCTGATGTATTCAATTTGAATTCAATGACACAAAATCATTGCATACGAAAAACGATTCTAAGCGAAGATCTGTCAGCCTATAATATTACTAAGCATATTTAATGATTATTGTGATTAAAATAATTTATTTTACTATTAGGCATTAGTACCTATTACAGTAGCTTGAATTCATTCAGTTTTACCAACGAAATTACATTTGAAAATGTCACTGTTTCAAAAAAGTTTCTTATATTTACGAATTATATTTTTTAATTATACAACACAATAACTAAAACCGGTATTCATGGTTTCAATATGTAATTTTGTAAAATTTGAACTTGAAAAAAACTAATAAAAGAACTCAGTTTATATAATTTTTGGATTTGTTCGTTACAATATGAAATACTTATGAGGAACTTTGTACTAGCATTTTTACAAAGCGAAAAAAATGT